TCAAGTGCCAAGGAAAACTAAAGGGTATCAAAGCATTATCTTTCTGTTACACCTCACTTATGAACCTAGTAGACAAGGAAATTCCCTCATACATGAGCTCTTGGGAGAAGGATCTACATACACAAATTAACCAAGATATGTGGCGGAGGGCTCTGGGAAGGGTGAAAAAAGCCACATACAGCCTGGCCCATAGAGAGGCGTTTTGTAAATTACTTATGAGGTGGTATATGGTACCATCACACCTAGCACATATTTACCCAAACACGTCTTCCATGTGTTGGAGATGCCATGACAACGAAGGCACACTACTCCATGTATTTTGGACATGTACGAAAATAGGTAAATTCTGGGCTGCAATAGAACAGTTTCTCTTAAAAGAGCTGAAAGTTAGAATACCAAAATCCCCAGAATGCTACCTACTCCACATCTTCCCCCATTCACCCAGGGAGGACGAACTACACATACTCACTCATTGTCTCATTGCAGCCAAAATAGCAATAGCACACAGATGGAAACAACCGCAAAGCCCAAACCTAACGGAAGTCCTCACACGTCTCGACACAATGTGCAACTTTGAACGAATGGCCAGCCGCCTCCGAAGCGAGGAACATACATATACTAGGCATTGGCAACGCTGGGTCCAGTTTAGAGGCCAACAAGGGTGCTAATGACCAACCCTATTGATCCATTAGGACCCTGGAGGAACTACACCATAATGCAGCTACCTTACCTCAACTACACCAACCCCACACTACCGACAACCCTTTAGTGCAGGAGTCAACTTCAAAAACAGGCCAAACAATGAGGCAGCTAGAACCCAAGGTGCAACGGTTGTAGTAAAAGGCCCCATGGACATTGACGGGATTGGTAACCTATCATGATATGCCACAGAACCATATTAGCAGGGTTTCGGGTATTTGACCAGCGACGGGTCCTTAGACCAACAAATGTACCCTTTTATAACAAATTGACATAGGATGAATATGTCAGTATGAAGTCTTGCTATCCGATCCTAAATCACCATAGCTTAGGCCTACTCGCAATGTATCCCTAACCCACACTGTTCATGCACTGCGTTAATGTACATTTAATATTTGTACTGTATATTTGATCTGCGCTGTCAAGTAGCCTGTTTGGCTCTATACAATGTCTGCATCCCCCTCCCCTTTTGCTTTCTGTACCCGCTCCCCCCTCCCCGTTTCTCTCTGATTTGATGAATATGAAAAAGCTCAATAAAAATTTAAGACACTGAAAATAGTGTCAAAGCAATATTATTGAATAAGATGAAATGCCCTCACAATGGTAGAGCTATCAATTAGCTCACAGCGTTGCAGGCTTTCTCAGCATGTGCTTCACTCACCACCATCCTACAGTCTGCAGACTGGACTAGAGAAAGTACTTTCTTTAGTCCAGTCCGCAGACCGAACGATGGCGGTGAGTAAAGCACACGCTGAGAAAGCCTGCAACGCTGCAGCGCCACAGACTTAGTGGGCGGGAAAACAAGCATCTATGCCTTCCAAAGACAACAGCCAGCGAACCCATCCTGCCAGAGTGATGGATGTGACTGGGCTGTGTGCTTTAGCAGAAAAGATGAGAAGTTGACACATTTGGGATGCTTGTAGAGGAGCAGTGTGTTCTACATAGTGCATTAATGTGTCAACTACACATAGGCAAGGAACAGTTTGAAAAAAGGGATACGAGATAGAGTCCGTTTTAGTTCGATGTAAAATAGAAAACGACAGGCCCTCAGGGATGAAGAAGAAACCGTCCACAGCGAATGATCTAACATCAGCAACCCGTAAAAAAAAAGAAAGAGGCATAATAGAATCGTTAGTTTATCTGAGAGCTGGCAATTCCCGAAGAAAACGCAAAACCAGATCCATGTCTCACAGTTGAATACCCCTCAAAAGGCAATGGGCCAGAGGGTTCTGGCCTATGGGAATGCTCTGTAAAGGAAAGTGAGCCGCCAAAATAGCCAAACGTGTCCCATTGATGGAGTGGTACGATCTACCTAATAAAAAGGTGGGATAAAAAATTCAGGATGAAGGTAACATGCGCAGTAAACACACCAGCTACTCCAAAAGTTCCACGTGGAAATGTGTTCCCTGGGCCCATAAAAGTTTTTTAGTCAATTGTGATAAACATAGAAACATAGAAACATAGAATGTGACAGCAGATAAGAACCATTCGGCCCATCTAGTCTGCCCAATTTTCTAAATACTTTCATTAGTCCCTGGCCTTATCTTATAGTTAGGATAGCCTTATGCCTATCCTACGCATGCTTAAACTCCTTTACTGTGTTAACCTCTACCACTTCATCTGGAAGGCTATTCCATGCATCCACTACCCTCTCAGTAAAGTAATACTTCCTGATATTATTTTTAAACCTTTGTCCCTCTAATTTAAGACTATGTCCTCTTGTTGTAGTAGTTTTTCTTCTTTTAAATATAGTCTCCTCCTTTACTGTGTTGATTCCCTTTATATATTTAAATGTTTTTATCATATCCCCCCTGTCTCGTCTTTCCTCCAAGCTATACATGTTAAGATCCTTTAACCTTTCCTGGTAAGTTTTATCCCGCAATCCATGAACCAGTTTAGTAGCCCTTCTCTGAACCCTCTCTAAGGTATCAATATCCTTCTGAAGATACCATCTCCAGTACTGGGTACAATACTCCAAGTGAGGTCTCACCAGTGTTCTGTACAATGGCATGAGCACTTCCCTCTTTCTACTGCTAATACCTCTCCCTATACAACCAAGCATTCTGCTAGCATTTCCTGCTGCTCTATTACATTGTCTGCCTACCTTTAAGTCATCAGAAATAATCACCCCTAAATCCCTTTCCTCATATGTTGAGGTTAGGACTCTATCAAATATTCTGTACTCTGCCCTTGGGTTTTTACGTCCAAGATGCATTATCTTGCACTTATCCACATTAAATGTCAGTTGCCACAATTCTGACCATTTTTCTAGTTTACCTAAATCATTTGCCATTTGGCTTATCCCTCCTGGAACATCAACCCTGTTACATATCTTAGTATCATCAGCAAAAAGACATACCTTACCATCAAGACCTTCTGCAATATCACTAATAAAAATATTAAAGAGAATGGGTCCAAGTACAGATCCCTGAGGTACCCCACTGGTGACAAGTCCAAGCTTCGAATATATTCCATTGACTACAACCCTCTGTTGCCTGTCACTCAGCCACTGCCTTACCCATTCAACAATATTGGAATCTAAACTTAAAGATTGCAGTTTATTGATTAGCCTTCTATGTGCAACTGTCAGGATTACAGAATGATCCAGCACGTAGAACTGTGTAACACAGAGAGCTGATAGGTAACGTATACCGGACCTTAGAATGAATAGTCAGGAATAGCCGAGGTCAAGGGAAACAGAAAGAGACACAACGATAAGGAAAAGCCAGGAGTCAGGGATGCCAGAAAACAGGGAAGTCAAAAACAATGCCAAAGTCAAATAACCAGAATAACCAGAATCAATAACACGCTCTCGGACAACCACAAGGGAAACCACGACAGGGCACTGAGCAGGATGAGAACAGGGCCTAAATACCCCTCCTTTAGATCTGATAGGCTGTAACCGGCCTTTGACCCCAAAGGCAGTTACCAGATCTCATTTGCATAATTGCTGCTCAGCATTAACCCTTCTGTGGATTTTGTTGTTGCTCGGCACAATTTTTCCTGTGTGGACAGTAAATGTCATTAACCAAATTTTTGTAAGAGTATGAATACGTGACATTAGCCCCCACCTGAAGAACGCCCACCGGTTGGGCAGGACCAGGTTTGAGAGGGAATTTGGCGTGAAAATAGCGAATCTTGCGGCCAGCATGTATATCAGATGCCGGAACCCAAGAACGATCGACTGGTCCATAACCTTTCCAATCCACCAAGTACTGTAAAGTGCCCCGAGAAAACTTGGAATCAATTATGGAGGAGACCTCATATTCTTCCTGTCCAGAAATAACTAAGGGAGGAGGAGGGACACTTGAAACAGTATATTTATTGCAAACAAGAGGTTTGAGCAAGGACACATGAAAGGTATTAGGAATTTTCAAGGAGGCCGGAAGGGCCAGAGAGTACGCAACAGGATTGATCCTACGAAGGACATGAAAAGGTCCAAGGAACCTAGGAGCAAATTTCATGCTAGGGACTTTGAGCCTGATGTTACGAGAAGATAACCAAACCCTCTCACCCACTTGGTTAACGGGGTTGGCACCTCGACGTTTATCAGCAAAATGCTTGAAACGGTCAGCAGCAGTACCCAGAGCAGATTGAACTTTAACCCAGGTATCACGGATGGAAGCCAGACGGTCATCCAAAGCAGGAATAGCCATGTCAGAAAAAACAGCCAGTAGGACAGTAGGATGCCGGCCATTATTAACAAAAAATGGACTATGCCCAGAGGAGTCATGGTCAGCATTGTTCCTAGCAAACTTGGCCCATGATAATAATTCGGACCAATTGTCTTGAGTGCTATTAACGAAACAACGCAAGTATAACTCCAAAGACTGGTTAGCCCTCTCAGCTGTACCATTAGTCTGGGGGTGGTAAGAGGATGAAAAAGACAATTCAATCCCCAATTGCTTATTGAAAGCCCTCCAAAACTGTGATACAAACTGAGAACCTCTACAATATTCTGAGGAATGCCATGCAGACGGACAATCTCACGTATAAAGATCAGTACCAGTTCTTGAGATGACGGTAATTTCTTGAGAGGGATGAAGTGAGCCATTTTAGAAAAACGGTCAACAACCATGAGGATAGTGGTATAACCATTAGAACTAGGAAGTTCTACAATGAAATCCATAGACAAGTGGGACCATGGGACCTCAGGAGCGGGAAGAGGTTGTAATAAGCCACAAGGGAGTTTATGAGGTACTTTGGAAACCGCACAAACAGAACAAGCCTGCACATACTCCTTAACATCCTTCCTGAGGGAATCCCACCATAATGACCTCATGATAGCAGAAGTGGATTTATTAATACCTGGGTGACCAGCAGACACATTGTTGTGAAACACCTTCATGATATTAACCCTTTCCCCCAATGGAATGAACAATTTGTCCTGAGGTTTACCACCGCCAAGCAGCGGAGAGGACAATGAAAGGATAGTGGAAGCAATGATACATTCCGGGGGAATGATATGGACTTTTCTTGCTCTTGTATAGACTCGGTATCAAACTGTCTGGATAAGGCGTCAGCCTTGACATTTTTAGAACCAGGTCTATAAGTAATAAGAAAATTAAAGCGAGAAAGGAACAGAGACCACCTAGCTTGTCTAGAAGACAATCGTTTAGCATCTCCTATGTAAGCCAGGTTTTTGTGATCAGTAATGATCAAAAGGGGGTCCTTGGAACCCTCTAAAAGATGTCGCCACTCCTTGAGAGCTAGAATAATGGCCAACAATTCCCTATTGCCAATATCATAATTGCGCTCGGCAGGCGACAACTTTCTAGAGAAGTAACCACAAGGATGCAATGGAGTATCTTGGCTCTCCCTCTGGGAGAGAACTGCCCTTACCCCTGTCTCTGATGCATCAACTTCTAGTATGAAAGGTTTACTGGTGTCAGGATGTATCAATATGTCGGCGAGGCAAACCGCTGTTTGAGAGTTTCAAAGGCTTCTATAGCCTCCTTAGACCATATCG